ATCCTTTGGAGCAATGGCATGGTACTGGTGTAGGCTAGTGGTGTCCCAAGCGGAGAATGAAGTCATGCTCCCACTGTGTTTTGTAATCTGAGTTTCTCTGTTCCATGTTGTGGTGGACAGTTTGGCAGCGTGTGCATGTTGCTGCATGGGAGTCCTTGTGTGTTTTCAACTAGCTGGTTAATCGTTACTGCTCTGCACTGAACTCATATGGCAGTAACTGCTTGTAACACCGCCCCAACTCATGGTGGCGGTATGGTGTTGTCACAGATGCGTAACACCCACCCTCCGTTTCCAGCCTCGGTCAGCACTGTACACACTGTTAGCACTGATCGCTGCTAGCCACATGCTCAGCTACCTTCATGCTGAGAGCCGTGTGCAGACAATCCCAGCTCAGACTCTGAAACATAGATATGCTCTGAATGTCTCATACAGCTCCATCAACAAGGTATGCACAGCTGTTCTTAAAAAGAGTAAGAAAGATATCTCCCTGCTAATTCTTTCTGAAGCTCCACCCTTACACAAGCTCTGCAGTAACCTACAAGCCAGCACACACACACACATTGTGACATCACCATACAATGCAAACCTGAATTAAGACACACACACACACTCACACTAAATTTAAAGGCAAAGGCATTTAAAAGCAAATTGATGACCAATATGTCCAGTGACACACACACATACACACACAGGCTGCATTATGTATTATTGATGATTACTGCGTTGTAGTACTACAACAGTGGATCTTCAGTGGAGCATGAAAGCTCGCCTCCGTCCACCCCCACAGCTCCCACTGCGCCCTGCCAGCACTGCCTGGGTTAACTCAATGTATGAACATGTGTGTGTGTGTGTGTGGGTGGGTGTGGGTGTGTGTGTGTGTGTGTGTGAGGACTACATGAAGCTTTCCCTCTAAAATGCTACAAGATATTTCCATTTGAAAAAAAAAAAAACATTATGTAAAGTTTATTTTTCACTACTCTGCAGTGAATCCAGTGCAGTCTGTGAACTTGATAGTATCGTGCATGCAAAACTTTAGCTTAAATAGCCACTTGTTCTCATTTAGTGCTGTAAATGTATTTTGTAAGAAGCAGTGTCCCTGTTTTTAAATAACAGCCTGGAATTAGGGATGTCCTGTGAGGAGATTTTCAGTCAGAGCAGGAAGATCTTCCAAAACGATTGTTGAATTTTGGTGTAAAACAAAAAGTTGTTTGATTTTACCAGTTTCGAGAAAAATTGTTTTCGGTATGATGAGTTCTTACCAAACCACACTCACCAAAATATGTCACAGCGCAGAAGGAAGCGTGCATCTACTTATAGACGAGAGGCTCCTGCCCGTGACAGAGAGGGTATTGACATTAGTGCCGTCATCCTCGGATGAGCTGTAACGTTAGCTAGCTCAGTGGTGCTAGGTGAGCTAGCAGTAGATGCATGTTTCCTTCTGCACAGTGACATAGTTGGCAGGTGTAGTTTGGTAGAAAGAAAATAGTTTCTATATGAAACTGCTCACAAAAATGTCTGTGGATTATCTTGAGTAACCAGGTCATGATTTCTGGAAAGAGACACTGCTGTTGAGTTTTCAGATGTTCAGATTTTTTAGGCACTTTGAAGTGCCGTCTGGTTCCATTGTATTTGAGAGAAGGCAGACATCTCTATGGCTGATATCTCCAACACTCAGCAACTCACACCAAAACAATCTAGACTGATAAATAGCACTACAGATAGGAGGAAATATATGTATTTTTGATTTGGGGGTGAAGTGTCCCTTTAAGATCTTTATCACTGATGTTTTAGATAACTGAAAAATTTTGTAGTATCGAGCTGTAATCGCTACAAACCTTTCAGCATGATGTCACATCATCCCTTCACTGGTTATCTGTGTTTTAGGGTGCATACTTCCCTTAGTATAATTAGGATTTCATACCTGCCCACACACTGTACAGTGCTGAGGTCATGTACTGTAAGCCGCAGGCTTGCGGTTTGCGTGTGTGTTAGTGTGTGTGAGCACATATGTGGAAAGGGAGTGATCAGAGACATTTCCACTCCCCTGCTTCCACCCTGACCAGCATCCATATTTCATGGCCACCAATGGGCCACAGCAGCACACATACTACACACACACACACACACACATGCATACAAATGCTTGAGATGCCACTCCAGTATGTTCCGTAGTGCTGTAGTGTTCAGTACATGGTGTCTTCAACCACATGATTCTACAACAAAGAGTACTTGTGCAAGTATGTCCTGTCCTTACACATCCACAGGCACACTTACGCTCACGTTCACACACCCTTTTCCAATGCAATTCCCTTTTCTTTTCTTTTATGCAAGAAGCACAGCTTGGTTTTCATGAAACGCTGTAATCATCAGTATGGAGTCAGAGCATGTAGGTGAAAATGCAGTGTGTTGATTATCCAGAGGACAGGAGATTCGGAGCTCTCACTTCAAGCAGAGGCACACTAGCCTTGCCACAGTAGTTTGTAACCGGTGTTACACAATGTTCCAGCATACACCAATATTAACGACATCACTTGCCCACTGGCCCCACCATCGTTTAGCTTTTTTTTTTTTTTTTTTTGTTAATCCTAGTCAAAAGACAGATGCTACAATTATAAACTGTAAGTGCTCCATACAGCAGCAGCAGCAGAGTCGCAGCACAGAGTAGCAGGACTTATCAGGTGGTGAGAGTAAGGAGAGCTGACTGACAAGACAATGGCGGAGGAGTTGGTGTCAGAGTGAAACGCAAAAGCGCCTGTTTGGCAATATTTCAGCTTTAAAACCCCAAAGCTTATGTGGCACCTGATAACGTTAATGAGGAAAAAGTAGCTGGTTACATTGTGAAAAAGTTGGAGGTTGCAGAGAAAAGTTGCAGCGGTGTGAACTGGCCGTCTGAGCTCCACTCAAGCCGGCTGATGGTGTCACCTGCAACTCCGCTGTAGCCAGTATCTCACAGTCACTATCCTCATTCATATTTTAAGAAGCTACAAATTATATTCAGCCACAAAATAAGCCTGAAATCAAGAACAGAAGTACAGAGAGTTGTTGCATAGAGATGATACACAGTCTCATCTGGTTGCGTGTGAACCGTCAGGTTTTTAGAACGTTGCAGAACGTTGCATTGCAAGTATCTGCCTGTTTCAACTCTTTGAATCTTTGGTCTGAAATGGGCTTTAGACACCCCATTTTTTTCTGTGATAATGTGAAAACACCTTGAAACAGAAAAGATTGTGCACTTATTGTGTTAGATTCTCGTGCATGTACACACGCTGTTCGACCCTGCACAGCATCAGAATAGAGACTGATGATGAAACACAAAAGAAATGATTGTATAGGAAGAAGGAAAGCCCAGCTTAACCAGATGGCAAATGCAGCCTGTTAATATCAAGTGACCAGAGCAAGTAAACCACATCGTTCTCACATATGCCATTATTTCCCGCAATCAGTGACCTGTTTCGGTCTGGCTGCTTTGTGGTCCGTTGAATGTGCTGTTCTCCCTCACTCGGTGCACGCAGTGAGGAAGGCAGCAGACTCATTGAGACTCTGTTCGAAGGAAAGAAGCTGCTGTAACTGTGCAGTCTGCCCAATAAGCCACCAACGTTACTGCTAGAGTCTTGTAAGAATATGCTGAAAGGGTCTTTTAAAAAAAGACAAATCTACTGTATCAGCACAGGTGTTTCTTTAAGTGTTCCCCAAACTGGATCGTCTTAAAACTGTTGTGCATGCACATTTAAACAATGTGAGTAAGACAGTCAGTCAGTTAAGAATATCAACTCTCTTAGGCCATTGAAAAAGAAAGACATCGGCGTAGAAGCAAAAGAATATGGAGGAATATATGTAGAAAGAGAGAAAGATTATTGTTGCTTCTGTTTGGAAAATATTCCAAACAATGTGTTATATGTTCTTTACTCAACCATCGGCTTTCTGCACGCCTTTAATATAGGTATGTGTGTGTGTGGATGAGTAATTGAGCGCATGTGCACATATCTCTTTAACAGCCAGTGTTTATGAACACACATACATGCATGTGTGTGCGTGTGCAGTGTAAGGTTGACTGACCCGTGGAAAATGTTATTTTAGTTCTAATGTAATGAGTTATGACTGCTGCTCCTGAGGGAGCCACACCCCACCTACACACACACACACACACACACACACACACACACTCACACTGACGTCACTCGCCTTGATGCTTTTCTCAAGGTTTTGTGTGGACAGACATCGTAAACGGCCCTTAATTGTGCCTGTGGTAAAACTCCTATGGTATGAGAGAAAAAAGCAACAACAGTTATTCATTTCTCCGCAGGCGGTGGATGGTGGCTCATGTTCGGTCCTCAGAAGGAAGCGTTTAAGATGATAGATAGTGGAATTGATGGATGGTTAAAAGGAAGGAAAGAAAAGAAGAAGGTGGAGAAATAAAAACAATAGTAAAGATGTTTATTTATAAACAGAGATCAATGAAAGAAGAACTCATAAACGGAATCGCTGAGAAAAAGAGACAGGAATGAATGAGTTGAAACTTTAATGATGCCAGAGGGGAACTTTGGGGCATCACAGCAGCACACTGTTGAGTGTAGATCAGATACAGACCTGTCCTGTAGTTAAGGATTATGCAGAGTTTATCTTATGTAAATGAGACAAATCAAGACGCAGCTTATCGTTCAGATGTAATAATTAAAGGCTTTTAGCCTGTTGTCTTTTAGCAAACCATTAGCAAGCTAATTAATCATGCAACCTTATCTGTTAATGTTGCTTTGTGTTAAAATTCAGTGTTGCATGTTGTCAAGGGTTGTGATTGGTGACAGCACTTCCTGCATTGATCTTCACGTTTCCCTTAACAAAAGTGAAAAAGATACCTCAGCAGCTCGGATGGCAATGTTGAGCTGTTGGTTGAGAGATCCACCACTGGATCAGGGGTGTCAAACATGCGGCCCCGGGGTCAGAACCAGCCCTCCAAAGGGTTTGATCTGACCCACTGGGTGACTTTGCACACCTGAAATTGATGCACTCATGAGGGCTAAGAGGTGCAGGGTTTCAGGAGCAGGTTAGTGATAACAGTGATAAGCCTACTTCATTCATTTCTGAAAAACAATGAATACTCATTGTAGTCATATTTAAAGATATTAAACATTAAGCAAAATACTGTAAATCAGCAGCATCAGTGCAAAACAAACTGTATCAGACTTCTATCTTAAAATAATATTGTATGAAACCTGGGCGGCTGTAGCTCTAAAGTAGAGCAGGTTGTCCACTAGACGGAAGATTGTTGGTTCAATCCCCGGCTCCTCCAGACTGCATGTTGAAGTATCCTTGGGCAAGACACTGAACCCCAAATTGTTCCTGATGGCTGTTCCATCGGTGTGTGAGTGCGAGTTTGACACCCCTGGACTAAATTTAAAAAAACCAACAGTTGGTTGCAGACATATAAACATTAGGTTCAGATTTGTGGCATTGAGTAAGAAAATTAAAAAACTATTGGATGGATTCCCACGGAAAAAGCTAAACACTTTCATGTCCCCCTCCGGATAACTTGCAGTAACTTTGGTGATCCCTTAACTTTCCATGTACCACCATCATCAGGTCAGAATTGTAATTTGTTCAGTACTTTGGTTTATGACTAGATGCCTCAGGTATACTTTGTGTTTTGAGATAACTAGCAAATCTTAGCATTCTAACGGTGATGGCAAACACAGTAATCTGTGCATGCAAAACATCAGCAAGTTAGCATGCTGATTTTAGCATTTATCTCAAAGCCCCACAATGCCTAAGTGCTGTCCAGTCTTACAGAGCTGCTAGCATGGCTACACACCCTTTGTCTTGTTAAGAGTATTGAGATTTTGGCAAGCCAGATTGATGGATGAATATTTGTTTCCAGATCAGGTTGGTAAAAGGAGACAGTGAAGGTAAGATGGAGGTCATGAAGAAGGAGAGAAAAAGTGTACAATATAGGTGAAAAGGAACAAAGCAAATGTAACATGATACATAAGGAGAGGTTAGATTGAAGGAGGAAGGGAGGCAGAGACATACAGTAATTCTGCTTTTCTTCTTCTCTCCATCTGTCCAGCTGATGACAAAGCATCCAGCGAAACGACTGGGCTGTGGTCCCGAGGGGGAGAGAGACATCAGGGAGCACAGCTTCTTCCGCTACATGGACTGGGAGAAACTGGAGAACAAGGAAGTGCAGCCGCCTTTCAAACCTAGAGCTGTAAGTCCGACCCCACTGAACCCGACTTGACCGCATATAAGGAAATGCAGTTCCCTTGAGTGGTACGAGGGGTTAATTAGTTGCCCAAGGCAGCAGAGACCAGGAGTTTAATTCCTGTTGGTGGTTAAATTCCTGGTAAAGACGCTGCTCCGGACGACTGTGTCTAACTTCAACACCAATCTCTTTTCTCTTTCTGTTATTTTACTGATCTTTTCACTGCCAATGTGATGTGTCTGTCTCTTTTCCCTCCTCTGTATGGGACAATGCACACAGGTAAGTCAAGTAATGATAGTGAAGAATGTGTGGTGATGAGGGCAGGGGTGTCTATGATAGTAATACCAGAAATATATGTTGAAGTTGATGGAGAGGATGATAATGATGATAACAACTCAACTGCCAGAAAAAAATGTTGGCATTGAACGCCTCTGCAGACCACAGATATGCTACATTTGTACTTTATTTTGTAGCGGATACATTGAAACTAAGTCTCTCAACAATACTGTAGTGACGGTGTGGTGTAGTTAAGGCACAGAAACCGGCTGGTTATGGTTAGGAAAGGATCCTGTTTTGGTGTAAAACACTCGCTTTCAATGGCACAAAAGAGGCTGGAAAAGCAGGGACAGGTTGGTGAAATACACCCAGGTTTGGTGGCTCAAATGCTGCTGGGGAACGCAGCGATGTGTCGGTGAAAAACACCCAGTTTTATAGCTAGAACGCCTCTAGGAACCAATGCAATTTGTTGGTAAAAAAAAAACACCCAGGTTCGATGGCTGGAACACTGCTGGGAATTACCACAATTTGTCATTGAAAAATGCCCAGGTTTGGTGCCACAAACGCCACTAGGTAATGCCCCAATGTGCTGCTAAAACAATCCATTCTCACTCCGAAGTCTTTGAAATCCAGCACTTGGGAAGTGACTGACAGTGTCAGACACTGACGAAAAAAACTGTCCTTTAACGTCGGCATGATACGCGGCCGGTTGCCGTTATAGTTTAACAGCGCTTGGCGGCATCAGGTGCAAACACCGTGGGACAAGGTCGAAAGTTAAGGCGGTGAAAGTTGGAGTAGGGTGGGTGGGGGTGGTGGATGGGTCCAACAAACACTGACTTTTACCCGGGAGAGCAGTGTTTGTGTCCTGCAAGATTATAAAGCCAAACCCTGTTCTTTTTCTTAAACCTAACCACGTGTTTTTGTTGCCTAAACTCAACCATGTGTGGTAGTTGTTGGAGGAAAAAAATAACGTTGATTCGTGTTCTTGTACTGACGTAGTGTATTTATTTTGAAAGAGACTGTATGTAAACTTTAAATTTCCCATGAAAACAGAAGTGTATTTTGAAAGACGACAGATCATCCCAGATCGTCAACAGCCAATGCACCCAGGGTACCTTTTACATTGTATCTGGATTTGGAAGGTCCATGACCAAACGTCGATATGTCACGAGGTCGGAGTGAGAATGTGTTGGCTAAATCCAGGTTCAGTGCTAAAAACACCTGTGGAAATGCCACAAAGGGTTGCTAAATCCCAACAGTTTTTTTTGGTTTGTTGGTTTGAAACTGTGGTCTGCAGGTTGGCAGGCATCTTGCGTAGGTGATACACCATCGCCTCCACCTCCTGGTGACAAAGTCAGTTTATATATTATGTCACTTCGTCACAACGTTTCTAACATTGATATGAAATGTATAAAACGTGCAAATGTAACATCTTCGTGGTTTGCAGAAACGTACAATGCCAACATTTTCTTCTGGTGACCAGGCTGTTGAGAAGGGTGCAGTAATGAAAGTGGTTTGGATGAGAAGGACACCAAAGGTGATGAAGATGTTGGCAATGACAGCAGCAACTAGAGAATGACACCAATGCTCAAGATACCACTGGTGGCGGCAGTAATAACTGGTTGTGATGATTTTTAGATTTTAGGGACCGGGTTTTGATTTCTTGTATTTCTTGTGTTGGCTGTTGAGCTAAAGCGCTACACTGTCGTCCCCAGTTTGGTGCAGTCGTGTTCTGCATGAGCTGAAAGCTTTTGTTGGGGTGAGACTGAGTTTAGAGTCGGCCTCCAGGGAGTAAGTGGACGTCCCGACAGTCTCAGCAGCAGCGACCTGAAACAACTGTTTGTGTTTTTCTTTGCTGTGCTTCTTTTTCTTCCCCTATGACAAAATTAGTTTGATCATAACTAGAGTCAGAATGATGTCATCTCATACTGAGACTCACACACACAGACAGACACACACACACCCTAACATGTACACACACTCACACAGCCTTAGGCCACACTGCTGCTGAAGAGTTTTTCTGAGTTGAGCTTTTTATGCAGCTGTCTTGGCCCGCTGGGGTTGTGAGCGTGTGTGTGTGTGTGTGTGTGTGTGTGTGTGTGGCTGGATCAGTGATGCTGCAATGGGTACGCATGCTTTTCTGTGTATTTGGGTCTGTGTGTCGTTTGTATGTGTGGGTGTTAGAGGTCACCATCAGGACCTGGCCATGTTTCAACACTGAGTGTGTTTTTCTGCAGAGTCCTCTGATGTGACTACTAACATGTTGTCTGATCTCGTCTCCTCTCTTCTCTCCTTCTGTATCGGCCTCTTCTCTCCGTTTGATCTCGTCTTTCTAACATCTCTCTTGTCTTTCACCTCTCCATGCTGTCGCTTTCTATCTCTCTCTTTCTCTCTGACTTTTTTCTTCCTTCTAAGAACAAATAAAGGTTCAGATTTTTTTTTTTTTTGTTGAAGAGGCATTGTGTTTACCCTGCATAAAAGTTTAGAGTTCAGTTTAGCATCTGAAGGTGGCTCTTTGATCTTTTTTTGGTTGAGCGATGTGTGTGTTGTTTTAAAGTGGGGCTCGCTGTATTTCTGACTAAAAACCACTTCAAACCGTTTTTTTCTTCAGAGTGTTTGTGATGGTGTTTTTGTACAGATGATTGTTTATGAAGGCTGTTTGATGCTTTCAAAATCCATATCTCTGGTCGAGGTGGGGCTTTGGTCAGAAGTTAGTTTCCTAAGTGTTTGTGATTGTGGTTTGCTTGTGGTTTCACATCATGAATGCCTTCTAAAGAGTGTGTTGGTCTGATGGTTGATCAGATGCGTTTTTAAATGTGTGATTGACTGACTGACCAGCTAATGTTGTAGCACCTGAGATGGACCTTGGTCTCAAAACCACCTTTTAAAGGTCTTGGCCTCATCTCAGACTCGACCGCATTTTCACTCGACTTGTCTTGGTCCCAGACAAAGAGGGATTTGAATTTTATTTCAAGACCAGTCAAGACCCAACTGCGGAAATAGTCACTAAATAGGCAAACAAGACGGGTGTTGAATAAAGATTACAAAGTTGATTTTCGTTCCTTAGTGTTTGTTTGCTTATAGAAAACAAAAGACAATTGACCTTTCGCTAAGCCCCGCCCCTTTGCGATTGTCCGACAAGCTTTCGCAGTAACTAACTGCACTCCCTGAAGAAATAATATCATATTTTTGGAGAAATTAAGCAGTGATTCCAGAGAGAAGCACACAGAGGGGTCTACAGTCTGTGTTTGAAGGATATATCCAGGATGTCAAACTGACTCAGCAGCAACAACAGGTTAAAAAGACAAAGATAGTTAGAAGCTAAAGCCGAACTATAGGCTACAGATCACAGTGTAAAAGTGAACCACCACATCACTGCTGATCGCCACACAAGACAATGAATATAAAGGGAAACTTTGCTGATATTGAACCAGCTGTGTGGCATCACAGTGTGTGCAGATAAACAGTGTTTAGCTTCGCCCCCATGCTACTGCCAGAACCTGGACCTCTGTGATGACACAGAGCTGGTTGAACATCAGCTAAGTTTCCCTGCTTCCCTTCACTGGTTCCTGTACAGCAGGTTCGGTCTTTGTTTCAGTTATAATCATTAAAAAGCAAAAGCAGCATGTGTATACATTCAGTAGGCTATATCTTCAGTAGCTAGCTAGCTAACCCTACACTTTTCAGGGTTTGATTTTGGTTTTGGAACAGGGAAGAAACGTATATCTTTTTCCAACCTCTCCAGGTAACGAGTATCATTAATACACGACGTGCCCCAGTCACAACATTTAGCTCCAAATCCACAAAACCAGCCTGAAAATTAAGGAAATCTGAAACGACTGCACTGGAGTCAATGGAGCACAGCTGCATTGTTGTTGGACCCTGGTCTGAGCCGACCTGATGCTATGTTATGATTGGCCAGTCTGGGGGCGGGACTTAGCGAAGGGTCAATTCCTTTATATAAAATTCACCTCCGCAATGCCTTTTGATTATTTCATCAAGACATTGCTCATGGTACACTTACACATACACATATATATACAGCATGGCATTAACATAGGTGAATGAAGAAGAACATTTATTTGTTTTCTGTTGGTGTTTTTATGGGAATGTGGATTTTTCAGATCAGTTTGAGGAATGCCTATGGTTTGCATGTTTCACATTTTATCGTGAAGTGTGGGGCTCGCACTTGTCTGGTCTTTCTGGTCTAAGGTCTAAGGTTCTCTGGTCTAAGGTGGTCTTCTCGACTACAGCACTGTTATCAACTCGCAGACAGGTGGACCCAACAGTTGGTTGATTAATTCATCCGACAGATAAAGAATGGTCTTTGGACTTTTATTCACAGCTATTGTCTTCAGTAATCATTGTTCATCTGTCTGTCCATTAAGCAATCTGTTGTCAGTCCATTCATCCATCTTCCACCTGAAGACTCCATCTATCCATCCTTCCATTCATCCATCCTTCCAGCACTCCATCCATCTGTTCACTCTTTATGGCTGCCATGCATCAACCCATCTGTCCTCACACATTTTTATTTGTCCTCTCTGTGTTCACAGTTTTCTCATATTTGTTTGTTTATTTGCATGCTCTGGGTCTCAGTCTCAAACAAAACCTGTCCTGGAGTGCACTACTGTTAACAGACACCTCATAGAATAACAGCTTAAAAGTAAAACCAATGCAAGTCTTAAACAATAAAAGCATCATCAAAATCAAACCCAGTTTCATCCCTG